GTGTGTGTGTGTGAGAGAGAGTGTATGAGTGTGTGTGTGAGCTGTGTTGTGTTAGTGTGTGTGAGAGAGAGTGTATGAGTGTGCGGTGTTGTGTTAGTGTGTGTGTGAGCTGTGTTGTGTTAGTGTGTGTGAGAGAGAGTGTATGAGTGTGCGGTGTTGTGTTAGTGTGTGTGTGAGCTGTGTTGTGTTAGTGTGTGTGAGAGAGAGTGTATGAGTGTGCGGTGTTGTGTTAGTGTGTGTGTGAGCTGTGTTGTGTTAGTGTGTGTGAGAGAGAGAGTGTATGAGTGTGTGTGCTGTGTTGTGTTAGTGTGTGTGAGAGAGAGAGTGTATGAGTGTGTGTGCTGTGTTGTGTTAGTGTGTGTGAGAGAGAGAGTGTATGAGTGTGTGTGCTGTGTTGTGTTAGTGTGTGTGAGAGAGAGAGTGTATGAGTGTGTGTGCTGTGTTGTGTTAGTGTGTGTGAGAGAGAGAGTGTATGAGTGTGTGTGCTGTGTTGTGTTAGTGTGTGTGAGAGAGAGAGTGTATGAGTGTGTGTGCTGTGTTGTGTTAGTGTGTGTGAGAGAGAGAGTGTATGAGTGTGTGTGCTGTGTTGTGTTAGTGTGTGTGAGAGAGAGAGTGTATGAGTGTGTGTGCTGTGTTGTGTTAGTGTGTGTGAGAGAGAGAGTGTATGAGTGTGTGTGCTGTGTTGTGTTAGTGTGTGTGAGAGAGAGTGTATGAGTGTGCGGTGTTGTGTTAGTGTGTGTGTGTGTGCTGTTGTGTTAGTGTGTGTGTGTTCTGACCTCCAATCTCCGTAGGTGCGCTCGTACCCCGCTGCCACCAGGCCCTCCTGTGCAGAGATGTGTTTGAGGCGTGTCCAGGCGTCACAGGTGAGGATGCGGTCCACGCGGCGGCCCCAGGCGTCATAGCGCTGCAGCACAGGAGGACTCAGCTCACACTGACGACCCAGAGCCTCGATCTCAGAAACCAGCCGCTCACCGAAGAGCAGGAGATCCCGCTGCACCTGCTGCACACACACACACACACATCAGCACACACTCCTGCTCAGACACACCTGCTCTCACACACACACACACTCACACACACTCCTCATCACACACACACCCTCCTCATCACACACACACACAC